AAATGGCAAACTATTCTAGTGTCTTTGCCAAGAAAATCCCAAATGACTTCACAAAGAAAGAGACACAACTAAACAACAACAAAAAACCTCTAACTTGGGCTGGGTAGCCTAGTGAGTAGAGAACTAGGTCAACAGTCAGGAAGACCTGAACTCAAATCTGGTTTCAGACACTTACTAGCTATGTGACCCTCAGAAAGCCACTTAATCTCTGTTTACCTCAGTTTCCTCAAAGGAAAATGGGGATAACAACTAATAATAATAATAATAATAATAATAATAATAATAATAATAATAATAAAATGGGGATAATAAGCTCCTATCTCCCAGGGTTCTTGTGAGGATCAAACGAGATATTTATAAAGTACCTAGTATGATGCCTGGCACGTAGTAGGCTCTACATAAATGTTAGCTATTATTATCATTATTATTATATCATACTGGCTTTATCTAAACCATATGTAATGCGGGTTTTTGTTTTTGAAGGGGAGAATATGGGGGAGAGGGAAGAGACCAAGAAAGGCCTAATGTAGAAGGCGGTACTTGAACCAAACATTATGGGAAACTGCAACTGTAGAGCCGGGCAAACAAATCTGTTTGTTGTCGTTATTGTTGTTGTTGTTGTTTTAAATTTATTTTGTTAATTTATTTTGATTTATCAACAATCTCTTCCCTATGGTTTTGAGTTTAAAATTTTTCTCCCCCTTCCTCCCCACCACCCTCCCCAAGACGGCGTTCAATCTGATATAGGCTATATTTTTACATTCCTATTAAACATATTTTCACATCAGTGATGTTGTAAGTAAAAATTAAAACCAATAGGAGGAACCATCAGAAAGAGGAAACAAAACTCAACAGAAGAGAAAAAAAAAGATAGCAATTCAACTTCCACAGTTCTTTCTTTGGATGTGGATAGCATTTTCCATCATGAGGCCTCTGGAGATGTCTTAGATCCTTGTATTTCTGAGAAGGGTTAAGTTTATCAATCTTAGTCATTGCATAACATGGCTGTTATTGCGTGCAAAGTCCTCTTGGTTCTACTCACTTCACTCAGTATCAGACCATGCAAGTCTTTCCAGGTTTTTCTGAAGTCGACATGTTCATCATTTCTTATAGCACAATAGTATTCCATTACATTCATATACCACCACTTGCTCAGCCATTCCCCAATTGATGGGCATCCTCTCAATTTCCAATTCTTTGCCACCACAAAAAGAGCTGCTATGAATATTTTTGTACATGTGGGTCCTTTCCCCATTTGTATGATCTCTTTGGGATATAGCCCTAGAAGTGCTATTGCTGGGTCAAAGGGTATGCACATTTTTGTAGCCCTTTGGGCATAGTTCCAAACTGCTCTCTAAGATGGTTGGATCATTTCACAACTCCACCAACAATGCATTAGTGTTCCAATTTTCCCACATCTTCTCCAACATTTATCATTTTCCTGTTTTGTCATGTTGGCCAATCTGATAGGTGTGATGTGGTACCTCAGAGTCGTTTTGATTTGCATTTCTCTGATCAATAATGATTTAGAGCATTTTTTTCATATGAATATAGGTGGCTTTAATTTCTTCATCTGATAACTGTCTGTTCATATCCTTTGACCATTTATCAATTGGAGAATGGTTTGTATTCTTATAAATTTGACTTAATTCTCTATATATTTTAGAAATGAGGCCCTTATCAGACAGACTGTTTGTAAAAATGCTTTCCCAATTTTCTACCTTCCTTCTAATCTTAGTTGCATTGGCTTTGTTTGTACACAAACTTTTCAATTTCATGTAATCAAAATTATCCATTTTGCTTTTTGTAATGTTCTCTATCTCCTGTTTGGTCATGAATTCTTCTGTTCTCCATAGATCTGACAGGTAAACTATTCCTTGCTCTCCCAGTTTGCTTATAGTATAAGCCTTTATATCTAAATCATGAACCCATTTTGACTTTATTTTGGTATATGGTATGAGATTTTGCTCTATACGTAGTTTCTGCCATACTCTTTTGCAGTTTTCCCAGCAGTTTTTTTTTCAAAGAGTGAGTTCTTATCCCAGAAGCTGGGGTCTTTGGCTTTATCAAATAATGGATTACTATAGTCATTGACTACTGTATCTTGCATATTTAACCTATTCCACTGATCCACCACTCTATTTCTTAGCCAGCACCAAGCAGTTTTTTATGATTGTTGCTTCATGATACAATTTAAGAACTGGAATTGCTAGGCCACCTTCCCCTGAATTTCTTTTCATTAGTTCCTTTGATATTCTGGACCTTTTTTTCTTCCAAATGAATCTTGTTATTATTTTTTCTAACACTATAAAATAATTTTTTGGTAGTTTGATTGGTATGCAGGCAAACAAATCTTGCACTGGGTGCTGGAAACACAGCTCTACAGAGATTCTATATCACCTAAAGAGCTGGGGAGGAATGTAGGGGAACCAGTTGGATTTGCTCCATGGATTTTCTTCCTCCTCTTTGATGTTCCTTACTTCCACAAAGAGCTTTACTCTGAGGCCGGGTTCTCTCCCAGACGCCTCCTTGACGTAGTACGTTGTTCACTGATGATGATGACAGTGGTCACTGACTGAACCTCAGACATCTTTCCCTTGGGGGAAGTGGCCAGGATTCCAGGGACTACAAAGGCCAAGAAGTTGGAAGTGAAATGACCTCAAATGTAAGGAGAATAACTTCTGACATTCAGGCCCTTGAGAAAAACAATTGAAGGAACAAAGTCCTTTCTTTGGTGATCATAGGGACTTTTCTATGTGCCCTAGCAGGGGGAGGCTATAAGAGTGGGAGGAAAACTTAGTCTGATCTACTTCCTCCCCCTCATCAGCTATCTCTCTGTCTTCTCTATCTTGTGTGAAACATCTATCACTCTCCCCAAAGTCATACTGGCTTTGTGACTTGAGGTGAGAACATTTCAGTCCAGAGAAATATAGACACAAACTGCATGGGCTCTAACGCTTGGTGTATGTGACCGATGCTCCCTGAGCATTGTGACCATACATTAATCCAATATTTCTTGAGCACCCACTGTGCACCCAGGTCCAACCTAGCTACTGTGAGGGATACAAGAGGAACAGAAGATCTGGTCAGGCTTTGTCCTTGAGGAGCTATGGGGAAAGAAACAATTCACAATTTTTTTATATAGTTAAAATAACTCCATAGTAAACTGTGATACTACCTATAAAAAAAAATCAAAGAATTAACCCAGGGTGATTTCTTCAGCACATAAAGTTTCTACTTACTCTTATCTCATAATGGAAAAGTCTGTCTGACCTTTGCCTGACAAAGGCATGCCCCAGATAATACATAGGAATGAGCTCAAAAGGTTCTCAAAAATACAAGATCACAAGTATAGACCCATAGGGGAAACCATCCAGTAATATCCTGGGACATCAGACCCTCCACAGGTGCACTGCTGTGCTATAAATAGGACTCCCCAGGCTCACTCCTCCTTTTATAGAATCATAGACTTTAAGATTTAGAAGGAGCCTCGATTACCACCTAGACCAAGCCCAACTTGAAGAAGAATCCCAAATGTAACACACTCAAAACTGGTCATCACCCCTCGCTCCTAGAGACTCAGAAGGAAGTGGGCAGAACTTCTGTGAAGTTCTGCATTGCTAAGAGGAGGTCAATGGGAAAATCAATAAGAAGGCGACTGCAGGGATCTAGGTGAGAGGTGGTAAGGGACTTTTTAACGGTTGTAGGTATACGGAGGAGAGAAGAGGATTCATATGAGATGCAGAGAAGGTGGAAATGGCCAGTATTGACAACATATTGGAGATGTGGGTTAAATGCCAGGGAACAGTCAAGGATGACTCTGAGGCTACCAGCTTGGGGGTCTTGGAGAATAGAAGTGCCTTCAGGAATAATAATGAGAGTGGAGACAGGGGAGGGTTTGTGGAGAAAGATAGTTAAGTCTGCCTTGCACTCTGGAAGGTCAGTAGGTGGCTTTTTGACTGAATGTCTATGAGCCATCTGCAATGACCCCACAGATTTTACACTGTATATGTTCACTCAATCAAATTTAATAAGCACATGGTATGTGACAAGTGATGTGCTATGTGCTGGTGATGCAGACTCAGAGTCAGGGATGAGCCAGGGTGGCACACCCCACAGTCACAATGGAGGAAGCCAGACACCCACATAGTGAGTCTATAAACACTAGGAGGTACCAGCTGAGATTCAGTGCCCGAATCCTGGAAAAGAACCCAGCGGTCTGCAGGCCACATGGAGAGGAGCTATAACTAATCATAGAGCACTGTCAAGAATGTCAGCAAAGGCAGGGTGATCTCTCTGTCAATTCCTGAAACTTTCACTGGTGGTGTCATCATGGGAAAGTTATTTAATCTCTCTCAGCCTCAGTTTCCTTCTCTGAAAAACAAGGATAATAAAAGTGCCTACCTCACAGCATGGTTATGAGGATCAAATGGGATAACAATATGTATGAAGTTTCTTGCCAACCTCAAAGGGCAATATTCACTGTTATTATAGTTAATAGCATGCTTTCAGATGGGTAGCTTCATTAAAATCTGCCCCATAAATTCAGGGGTTCCCTGAGGGGAGGAATTCTATCTTCTCATTAGACCAGGGACTTCCAAAGGGCAATGTGAGGAAAGGGGAAATGGGAATTAGTCCCTGTATCTTTCTTCCGAATGAAGTCTCTCTGGTTATCTTTTCAGACCTAAAAATGTCTAGGTTCAAGAAACATTTAAGAAGTATGACTGAGTGTTTGGCATTGAACCAGCCCATCTCTGGGCCTCTGAGACAATACTTGGTGATGACCGTGCCTGAGGTACTCTGCCCTCACCACAGATTCTGTTTCACTTCCTCTTTTATACCTTCTAGGCAGGAAAATATGTGGCCTGGTAGCAGACGTCATAGGTGACGATGAGAGGAGGGCAGGACCTGAGTAAAACCAACCCAATCATGGGCAGGGATAGAGGTAGGGAGTCATGATATATACATAGGAGGCCTCAGTTCCCATTTAGGCAGTGCCTGGGACACAGGACATGGGGCCTAAAGCCTCTGACAGTGGGAGTCTGGTTGACAAGGAAGCTACATTCTAAAGATTATGGGCTGCAAGGGGAAGCAAAGATGGTTCTTTTTGGCCTGGCTTCTCATTCTGGAGGCATTTACCTGGAGAGAGACCCAGGCAGGTAAGTCTAGGGGAAAAGAGGTCAAGTAGAGAGAGACCATGGAGATTTGTGTCTGGTGGGGGAAACTCAGCCTCTGTGCTCAAGGGACTTCAGGTAACCCAAGAAGTCAGTCAACAAGCCTTTATTGAACAATTTGTATGCTGCAGCTAACTAGTGATCTAAGTGGTAGGGATACCAAAAAAATAAATCAAATAAAACTTGGTCCCTGCCTCCAAGGAGCTCACACTCTAATGAGGGAGACAGAAAGTAAATGAAAAGATACATACAGAATAGATGAACAGAAACTTTGGAGAGCAAAGCTCTGGCAATTGTGGGCACCAACATTTTATCTGAGATTTGCAGGAGTCCAGGGAGGCCGGGAGGTGGAGGTAAGGGTGAAGAATATTCCATGCACAGTGAACATTCAGGACAAGGGAGGGGGTTGGGGAGTAAAGCACAAGTGTGGGGAACAGCCAATAAGCTGCTATTGGGTAGCCGAAAGAGTGGAGGGGAGTAAAGTGTAATACTCTTAATTAGAATGACTGAAAGTATTCATCCTCTGAAAAGTTTTACATGCTAAGCAAGGAACTTTATCCTAGAGGTAAGACAGAGATGTCAGAGTTTAACTAGGAGAGTGAGATAGTCACAGCAATGCTTTAGAAAAATCATGTTAGCAGCTGAGGAGAGGATGGATGGAAGAGGGAAGAGACTTAAGGTAGGGAGACCAGTGAGGAGTCTATTGTATGTGAGAAGACTCAAACTACCATCAGGGCTGTGCAAGTGAAGAGGAAAGGATGTATAGGGGGCCAATATGAGACCTGAAAGGCCATATGGTCCTACCTTGTTATTTTACAAATTTGGGAACTGAGGCCCAAAGTAGTTGTGTGACTTTCCCAAAGTCACAAAATTAGTATTAGAAATGGGATTCAAACCTAGTCCTTCTGATTCCAAAGCAATGCTCTTTCTGCCATTCCACATATATTCCCTACTGTGTGACAGAAATTTGCATATGATTGGACATAAATAATCATTACATGTATAAGTAAAAACAAATTAGTTTCTGATTAGTGCAGAGCACTAACAGCTGCAGGAATTAGGGGAAAGCTTGTAGGAGGTGGACCGGGAGCTGTAGTTTAGAGAAAGCTGGGGATTCTCAAAGCTGGAAGTGATGACGGATCTCATTCCAGGCTGGGCAGACAGTCTCAGCAAAGACCTGCAGGATGGAATGTTGGGTGTGAAGATGGTAAGTGGGCTAGTTTGGCTGAAATGTTGAATTCATGAATGGAGATAAGCCTCCAAAGGCAAACCAGACCAAGGCTATGAATGATGATAAATGCCATTGGCTGGAAGAGACTGAATTTTATCCGAGAGGCATTATGGGGTCACTAGAGGTATTTAGAGAAAGGGAGTGATGAGTTTTAGGAATACAAAATGGGAAGATTGGGGAGGACTGATGGAAGAGGGGAGAGATCCAAAGAAGGGAAACCAATTAGGAGGAAATTGCAAAAGTATGCGTGAAGGGTGATGTGGGTTAGAACTAGGGTGAGGATGTGTAAATGGAGAGTAAGAAATGGATGTGAGAGTTGTGGAGGTAACATCAATAGGACTTGGCCACTGATCAGATATTTGGGGAAGAGGGAAAATTGGAGGATGAATCTAAGTTACAAACCTGGGTAACTGGAATATTAGTGGTGTTCTTGAGAAATAGAAAGTTAGGAAGAGGAGTGAGTTTAGGGGAAAGATAATGAGTTTTGTTTTTGACATGTTGTGTTTCAGCTACCTGTAGGCAATCTAATTGGAGATGTCCAAAAGAAAGCATTTATTAAGCTTAAGCATTTATTAAGCTCCTACTATGTGCCAGGCATTGTGGTAAGTGCTTCACACATTTTTTATTTGATCATCACAAGAACCCTGAGAGGTAGGGATCATAATCATGCCAATTTTATGGATAAGGAAAATGAAAAGCTTAAGTGACTTGGCCAGGGTTACACAGAATCAGTGGGTGTTTGCTGGATGTCAACTCTGGTCTTCCTGACTACAATCATAGCACTATAAACACTGCATCCTGTCCACTACACCACCTAGCTAGTGATGATTGGAAAGAGAGGGAGACAGAGACAGAGACAAACAGAGAGAGACAAAGACAGAGAGACAGAGACAGAGAGATAGAGAGAGAGAGAGAATGAGAGACAAAGAGAGAGAGGAGAGAGACAGAGAGAGAGTTGTATATTTAGACTTTGGAGTCATTTGTACAGTTGCCCTTACTGATGGTGGGGGGCAGAGGAAGGGCAAAGAATGAATTAGAAGAAACAATGGTCTCCTGGTAACCTGAAAAATCATGTTTTCTTCTTCCCTTCCTTCCGATAATTCAGTACACCACAGGCATGTAGCTCAGTTCACTGCAGTGACCACAACCCACTCTCTCTTGGAACTAAAGGAAATTAGCTTCATGGATGATATTGAAGTGGGATCTTATAGCAGTATACACGAGCAAATTATTGTCAAGATACCCTGGGTCTCCAAAGCAGTGGGAGTCGATCTCATCACCGAGATGCATAATTTATTTGTAGAACATGAGCAACACATCAGCTGGATCCTCCAATATTTTACGAAGAATGGCACTAACCATAATAGTAAGTAAGACCCACCCATCTCCCCAATCCCTCTTTTCATCATACCTTGTCTATTTCTTCTGCAAGTCCAATAGATCTATCCCCAATAGATCATACCACTGAAATGGATGTCCTTGGTCCCAGTCCATTGTTATTTACTAACCTGGAGAAAGAGCATTAAGGAATCCATTCCTGAGCCTTAGTCTTCATCCGGTAGGTTCAACATCCTGCGTCACCATCTCTTTCTATAGTCCTTCCAAGACACTCTGCCTCCATCCCAAGAACTTTCACTACTTTCCAAACTTTCTTAATAAATAAACCTGAACTCAGAGGATGGGTGCTCTAAGCCCTTTTTTAGGCCCACAGTTTAAGGTTGGGCTGCATTTGATTCTAGTTACTGATCTCTCTCTCTTCACCAGTCCCAGAACTGACCACTTCAATGTCCCTCCACAGGAAACCACACAGGGCAGCTCCTTGCAGACTGTGAAATAGACAATGACATCAAGGTCAAGAGCCATATCCACTTAATTTGGGATGGAGAGGAATATTGCAAGATAGATGAAGAAGTTGGGCACTGGGAGAATGTAAAGCCTGACTTCAAGAAATACCAGCACATTCTGGAGAGTCTTTACTGGACCAATATAAGGAAACGCTACATGAATCAATATTGTGTTGACCTGCTAAGGAAAATTGTTGGATACTCAAGCTTAAGGGATAATTGTGAGTGTTTGCTTCTTCCTATCTCCTCCCAGGAGGTCCAGGTTACCCACATCATTCTGTATATTAACTGGGGCCCTAGAGAAACATGCAGTATCATAACTTCTCACCATAGCTCCAACTTACAATAGTGAAATCAGAGAATGTGAGAAAGGTTGAGGTTCTTTCTTTTTTTTCCTTCTTTCTTTGTTCTTCCTTTCTTTTCTCATTTCCTTCTCTTTTCTTTTTCACTTGCTATCTTTCTTTATTTCATAGTTATCTTCCTTTCCTTTTTTTCTCTTTTTGTCCTTTCCTTCTTTTATATTTCTATTTTTTCTTCCTTCTTTCCTTCTGTCACTTCTCTGTTCTTTTTCTTCCCTCCTTCATCCCTTGCACTCTTTCTTTTTTCTATTTTCTTCCTCCTTTTTTCTGTCTTTCCTTCTATCTTTCTTTATTTCTTTTGCTTAAGTTAATCTCCTCCTGCCTATCTCATCAAGGCATCAGAGTGACCTAGGACCTCAAAGGCCATGACAGCTAAAAAATACTCTGCTGTGTCCTACCAAGCTGGGAAAAGTTTATGTACATCCCCAGGAGCGATAGATTTTGTGTCTGCTGTATAGTGAGCCACCTAGCCAAATGCAGAACATCATCACCAGGAGGTTGGACACCAAGTAATGTTTGATTTTTATTTTGTTGGGGTTTGGGAGGGCAGTGAAAGAAACACATAAAGGATATCCTAGTAAGCGTAGACTGTCTTCAATCTTCACCACTAGAAAGACCCACATTGATGAAATTATAGACCATATGGAATATTGGCCTGTTGAAGAAGATTCTGTTGTTAATCCATTATAGCTGACCAAACTACTTGAAGAGGGTTTAGAAAGCTGCTGGTGACGTGGTCATCAGCACCAACAGATGTTGACTCTAACTAGTGTTTATCTAGCACTCTTCTGGGTATCTAAGGAGATACAAATGGAGATAAGCTATCATGCTACTCTCAAAGGCCTGATGAGTCCAGTGGGTCCATCAGGATAAGGGATGCAGCATAAAGGAGACTGGGGACATCAGTAAAGGTACAGACAATGGAAGCATCAGACATTCACAGACATTGTGATATGAGTCCTTCTTTCTTGATCTCTGCTCCCAGTGCCCCCTGAGGTGACCACATCTCGCCATGTCAACCCAGAAGGCAGCATCATTCTCTCCTGCACAGCCACAGGCTTCTACCCTCGCTCCATCCTACTGCATTGGGAAATGGATGGGAAGCTTGGTGTATGGGGAAAGGAGACTTCCAGTGGTACCCTGCCCAATGCAGATTCCACCTTCTATCTCCAAGTTACCTTAAAGCTCCCACCAGAGGACTCAGGGATGGGTTATATTTGTGTGGAGGAACACATTGAGCTTAAGATTCCTGCTGTGTATCCAGGTTCGTGCTTCATCCAGGTATTCTCATCACATCTTTGTAGGTCTGATTTGGCCATTGGCTTTATTTATAGTCCTCCAATGGCAGTAGCTATCCTTCCTGACTTTGAGTTATCTTCAGATTTGATGGACATGCCATCTATGGCTTCATCCAAGTCATCACAAACCATGGTGGCTCTTAGTGATTAAACAGCCCTTGCTAGATGCTCACAAATCAGTCACTCATCCTTTAAACTCATTACCACAAATATTTTTTTTAAGTATTTCTTATTATCAAAGTAAGAGATAGCATGTTATAGTGAACAGAGACCCTGTCTCCAAGTTAGGAAGACCTGGATTCAAGTCTTACCTGTGACACATATCCATTGCATGACCCTGACCAAGTCATTCTAAGATCCCCAGGAAACTGTAACATATAATTGTAAAGGGTTTAAATCTTCACTGGTAGAGGGAGTTCCTTCCTCACTGGGATTTTCCTACACCCTTGACAGCATGGGTCTGGACCACAAAAAAAAAAAAGCAGAGGGGAAGGAATCACATACTTTAGTTATGTTGACTAGAATTGTGTTGACAATTGGAGTCCATCTCATTGGATAATGGTATGAGGTGTCCATGATCTTCCTTTTAAAAAAATTGGGTCATATGTCCATTTCCAGACCAGCATTTCCTCTCTCATTCACCATTATTTTTCAGAGATCGCTGTCAGTGGCTTGGAAATAAGGCATCAAGGTTTGTTTGTTTGTTTGTTTGTTTGTTTGTTTGTTTCTAATACCCTTAGATGTTAATCCATGTCAGTTGACTTATGTTTATTAAGATACTCAGAAACTCTCTAATTATCATCTTACATGGGCTTCTATTCTTTGTTAACCATTTCTGTGTCATGTCCATGTTCTAATACCACAACAGAAACACTTTCATATCCTTTGAAGTTATAATTATGTTTTTTAATGGCCATTTGTTCCAGCCTAATAGAAATACACAATGCACACCTGAATAATGTGACACTTCACTGGATTCCTTATTCACATTGATTGGGACCTAGTTGTAATTCTGCCTTCTCTTACCTTCATTCCATTCATTCTGAGAAGTAGTCCCCTTCTTTCTTTGAGCTTTCTTTTCTGTCAAATGTTGTTTTAAAAGTAGCAAGCTCTTTATGACTGTGCCGAGAATTCATCATCCATTTCAGCTCAGTGACACTAAAATCATCCTGTTTTGATGTTGACCTTCATTTTTACTTACTAGATTCTTCTATCTTTTATAGATATCTTTTGAAAAACTAAATGGGAAAATGACTACCCTGTGTAGTCATGTTTATCTTTTAAACAACTTCTCTCCTTTTCTTCTTTGTCATAATTGTATTTTTTTTAGTATGCTTTCCATCTCCCTTGATTGAATTTTCCTAGTAGAATTGTGGGGCATGGCATGCTATCTATTATTTGTCTGAAACCTTTGACATTCATTCTCTCAAAATGTATGATGCAATCAAAAATAGTCTCACTTTCATTTCTTTGTCTGTCATGAATGCTACGAAGGCATTGTCACTGCCTCCCAAGATCTTCATCAATTTTATTTCAACAATCAGTTTCTTCTTATTTGTTTGTTAGAATCAGGAAGGTAGAAGAGGTTCCTTTGACCTTTGAAAGAAGTTATCCATGGAGTATCAGGGGGAGGTATCAGTGGAGAAATAATTGATGTCAGAAAGATTACAGCTCCTTTGAAGTATTGAAGTATATCATTATTATTCAATACATGATTGCTCTTTTGATTAAAATGCCAGAATCATTCTTGCTTAGAGAGTATCCACAGTCTGAAAGCCCTCACCTCTTCCATTATGATAATGAGAATTCAACAAATATTACAAGGCTGTTGATGACATAAAGGTTTTTGTTAAAAAAAAGAACTATATTAAGGTGAAAATATGACCAAACCTGGAACAGATAATTAAAACTATTTCCCTCTTTTCTGTAGCAAGTTGGGGGGACTATGGATACAGTGAATATCAAATACATTGAAAATCAAGAAAGAAAAAAGGAAAAGAGGGAAAAAGTTAGCAGCAAAGCAACAATTTCTCATCTGTTATGATTTTAGCAGGAGGATCTCTGATATTTATCCTGATAAAGTCTTCCATCAGTAGCGTATCATGACAATGTGCCACATTTATATTCCATTTCTCAAATATATAATCTATTTTCTGTTTCTGACTGCATGGTCTATATATATTATTCTCCCACCATGATACTCTGTGTTTCTCCCACCATTACTCATCACCCAGATGCTCCCAAGCTTGCTTCTAATTGTGAATTTCACCATAAGACTACATCTTGTAGATTTTATTTTTTCTTTTTAAATTAGATTTACTTCTAGTGCAGATATGAACCAAATATCAGTGATATCATGATATTCATAAGAATTAGAATTCATAGAGATTTTAGGAATAATCCAACATATCCTAATTTCAAATATTGAGTAAATTGAGGCTTGGAAAGAGAAAGTGACTTGTCCAGGGTGAAAAAAAAAGGCAATAAATAAAAGATCTGGCATTAGGACATTTCTTACTCAAAATCCAAAGTTCTTTATACTAAAATGTTGATAAGGTCTAATTTGCCTCCCTGTAAATATATGGTTTTCCTGACATGAGAATTTCCAGAACTCTTATTTCCTTTGTCTCTACTTTTCCCATGAGCATGGGGGATAGTTAGGTTGGGCATGTAGATATAAAAAGAGATTCAACTAGAGACTTTTTCCCACAGGTTTAACAAGTCAGCTAGAAGTATCTTCTTTTCTCATACTGCTCCACATGGAAGAATTCTATTTACCAATACCATTAACCTCTCTAATTTTTTTTATAGCTTATATTTACACACTTGAATATAGTCATATGAGACCATTGGTTTTATTATTCTTTCTATTCTTGGATATCACTTCCTTTAAAACACGATATTCTACTTCCTTGATCACATGCGCTATTCTCTGAAGTTTCTGAATGATTGGGGAAATACATGTTGGCATTTTCTCCTTTCCTCCACAATTTCCACTTAAAGACTCTTTTATTTGATCCCCCAAACTCCGAGCAACTTTATTTCACCAGACGTCATTAGATATAATCCATTCTTAGTCAAGACCCCATTATTTCTATATTTGAAGCTATGGCCCAGAAACACAAATCTTGTTCTGCTACAATTCTTTTCTCAAGAAGCAGCGATGAAAATGCTAAAGATTGAGTCAGTAAGAATAATCAGAAATGTTTTTTTCTAGAGAAGAAATGACTTAGGTAGGACTTTATGTTGTTTGTATACATGGCACACAGAAGAAGGTTCTGATTTGTTCTTCTCTCCAGAAGACAGAAGGAAGTAGGAGCAATGGGTGAAAGTTACAGAGATGCATATTTAAGTCCTTCATAAGAAAACTTTCCTAAATTAGAGCTGTTCAAAAGGGGAGTGGGCTAACTCAGGAGGTAGTGAGTGTGGCATTGCTAGAGGTCTCCAAAAAGAAGCTGCATAACTGCTTGGCAGGAATTCTGTCAAGAGAAATCCAGTTCAGGTAAGGGCTGTACTAAATGGCCCCTATGGTCCCCTCCAGTTCTAAGATTCCATAAGTACATAGACCCATAGAGTCTTCAGTTTCTCAATGAATAGTCTTAATAAATGGTCTGATATAGAGCTCAAACCTCTAGGTATGGTGTAATTGACATCATGCCCTAATTAATTGGGCCTTATAATATATATATATATATATATATATATATGGCACCATAAGGTTCTACATAAAGTGAGCTGTTATTTTTCCATGGAAGTCCTATTCTCATGTCACACTGGGATCTGGAGGTGACCCAGAGCTCCTAGAAGTTATTAAAGAAGGGTATAAGCTGTGCCAGGTTCGACCCAACTGGAAAGGCCCCAAATATGGCCCTCATGACATTCTGTGCTTCTGTTCTTTGAGTTCTATTCTAGATAAAGGTAGAGTGTCTCATCCCCAAGACACCTGGAGAAAATTTCCCTTGGCCTCAGCAATTCATGAAAAGCCCATCTACTGAGACAGGGAGACACTGTCCTCTGCATCAGTGTAGAGAGTACCCTTTTGACTTGAGGAATTGTTCTTGTTATTTTTTTGTTCCTTTTTTAATGAAGACTATATAGAAATATTTTTGGGACTAATTAGCAAGAACATATTATTCTTTTATAATTAATCCTCTATACAGTACAACACAAGTGACTAAGATAACTACATTTTATAGTTGAATTAAGGTATTAGAATGTCAGTTCATCACTTGGAGGTTCTCTGAGTGAATACTTAGATGACTCCAATAGCAAACAACATGACAGAAATGACAGGCACCTCATCCTGGTCCCACACAATTTGCATCTCCTCTGCTATGTTCCTATATTTTCATAGCTTCTCATTCCATACAGCTTAGAAGCTATGATGTGGCATAATGACACCTATTAAAATATTGTTTAAATACTTATGAGTCAATGTTATTTCCAGGCAATTGTGGACAATCATTTGATCTGTGCTCATGCTATGATCATTCTATTACCGTTTGTTGGTTGAGTTCTCAAGGATATTTTGAGGTCTGCATTTTCAGTATGTGGATTTATCATTGGCTTGTTCACAAAAAATAGAGAGCTTCCGATGGTCTCACTCTTGGTGTTGTGATTTTCTTGTTATTCTCATCTTTTCTATTGGGGCTCAGGTAGAAATGGTCTTGAGACAAGACACAATCCTGCTGTCTTCCATTATTATTGTTGTTGTTCTTCTTCTTATTATTATTATTATGGTTATTGTTATCACTATTATGAGAAATTTGGGGGCAAAGGGCACTTTTAGCAAAGTGTTTAAGAGAGAGTTTATTGGGAATTGCCCACAGTGACAGGGAAAGCATATGGGTCAAATAGGTTTTCAAAACTGAGGAGCACTGGTCAGATTTAGGAGGTCAGGTTCTGAGGTCAGGAGTGGCCCTGCTTGGAGACAGGAAGTTAAATGAAATGGCTTCTCAAGTGCTTCAACAGAGTGTGCATCCTCTGAAAATTTCTTCATTTGTTTGGAAGAATGTATGAACTATAATGGAAATACAGAAGATAATGGTGAAGGGGATGGGATGGGCTGGGAAGGAAGAAAATCAATGAAAATCAACTCCTTTGGGAAGCAACAAGAACATATGTTTTTATCTAAGAGTAAGAAATTTCAGAACTGTGGTCTCTTGTTCCACTTCTCCTATTACCATGGTGGATGGTGAGGTTGGCATGGGGCTCTGAGGGAAGATTAACCTAGAGACCTTTGTTTACAGGTTCAACAGGTCAGCTAGAAGGATCTTTACCATCTCCTCCTTCTCCTACTCCCTCCATTACAGTAGAGGAATGGACTATGCCAAGGACAAGACTCTAGGCAAGACAATCCTGTCTTCTTTGGGGTTCCCTGAACATTAGTCTTAATGCTGTCCCTGAATGATCTCTCTCTACCACAAAGATTTTTGTCCTTTCATGCAAAGGCCAAGGCAAAATTCTTTGAAAAGTAATAGGTTATAAATATCTAAATTTGAAATATTGTTATGCATTTAATTTTAAATAGCAAGCACAAACATGCACTTACAACCATTTATACTTGATAACAAATTCATTGGTATAATATGCCCATAACAGTGCATTGGTTTATTGCTGATTCATTTCAATTCAACAAGTATTTTAAAGGCCCCTAAGAAGCACCACTGACACAGCATTAGGCCTGGAGTCAAGAACAATTGAGTTCAGATCCAGCCACTGACACATTTGCCTTAGATAACAATGGAGATGATAATAGATAGATCATTGCTGTAGTGAGGAGGACCTGAGTTCAAATCCAGCCTCAGACACTTTACACTTACTAGCTATGTGACGGTGGGAAAGGCACTTCCAATTCCCCCACAAAAACAAACAAACCAGGCAGGGTAGAATGGAGAGGGGGGCAGTGCTGAAGACCACCAGAGTGCCCATGAATCAGCTTAAAACACAGAAGATGGGAGCATGGAAGTATTGCTACTACTGTATTCAATTTCATGACTATTTTTGTAAAGAAATGATCCATACTTCCCAAACCTACCTCCTTGGTTATTGTAAGGATAAAATGAGATCATATTTGTAAAGTGCTTTGAAAACTGTAACATATTTTATAAGTGCTAGCTATTATTATCATTATTGTTATTTATTACATGTCTGCTATATGTTAGGTATCTGGAAAATAAATTTTTAAAAAAAAGGAAATTCCTTGCCATCAAAAATCTTACTTTCCAGTGGAAGAAGGAGGAGAGAAGCAAAATATGCATACAATATCAAATGAAAAATTCACATGACATATCTATCTTTTCATCTTTTTTGATCTGGGTTTGCATTTTTTCCTTTTGTGAGGTTGTCCTCCTTCACTGATGTCCTCTGCTGATGCCTCATCATAGCACTGGTGAGCTTGGCTTATGCAAGCTCTTCCTGTGGAGCACGAGCCCTGGCAGATCCTACCTAGGTCAAGAAGCTCCATTTGTGGGATCAGATGACTATTGTCCCAACATCAGTCTCTCTGAATTCATAATGATTCAGGAACAAGTGCCCACTGGAATAAGCAAATTTTTATCTGAGGCAATGGTGAAGATTACCTATTCATTCATAGAGAACTTGTTGTTTATGTCAATGAAGTAAGTGCCTACCCACCCAAGCAAATCACAAGCTCTTCAATTATGGAAGAATAGTTGTAATCAATGTCCTCTGCCATGCTTTCTTTGAGTCCTCTTTTGCAAACTGTTCACCTATCCTAGAATTTTTCAGTGGTGCTTGGGCATTGCACTCAAATATTCATATATGTTCCTCATAAATTTTATATGTTAAGCATTTATCTTTAATATTTGATGCACACTTTCCAAATTTGACCTTGATAATTTTGTTTGTTTTGAAAAAGTTGGTAATTTTTGCAATAAACTCACCAGCACTCCTCTATGCTAAAGTGTTGTCTTTGTTTAATAACTAAAAAGGAATTGGATTTGTACAATTAAGGTGAATGTATTATTTTCTTTTCTTCTAACCTGTTCAAGTTGTATTTGCAAAATTTTAATTCAAGATCCAGATGGAATGTGTTGGAGCTTTTGGCATAAGGATCAAAATTTATGTTCAACCATGTTGTTCTCGAAACAACATTAACAAACTCAAGAATCTTTCCCCTAGTTCTCACTTACTTATATTTTTTATCAAATATTAATATTTTGTGTGTGTTAGGTTCTATTTCTAGGATTCCACATTATAAAGGAAAACAACATCCACTGAGTGTATATGTGGGGATAGGGACTGAACTTCTTTGTGATTTCATTAATATAAATAACTTCCATTACCAATCTATATCAGCACCTGCCTGGCAGTTTGGTCTCAGAAAGTTAACTTAGAACAGTGAAAGTTAATTGAATTGTCCAAGGGCACTAAACAATCTTTTCTAGAGTCTGGACTGGAACCCAGGTCTTCTTAGCTTTGAGGCTAACTCCCTATCCATTATATCACACTGCTCCTGCACAGGTGTATAGAGCTCCAGATTTCATTATTACATACAGGTTCCCCTGGGTTCTCGAAAGCTAAGCATTAGAATGTAAGTCCTTCCCAGCTGTAGAGGCTTCCAGGTTAGCCCAGTGATTGGGTCATATCTGGTGCTGGCCACGTTGTGTCCAGAGAGGTTCATCATAAAGTTGAATGAAGGGGATGAATTTTTTGGCCCATCAAACTCTGATAAGGCTATCTGATAAGGCATTGTAGGATTAGACTCTGTGCCGCTGGGAAAAAAATATCGATTAGATCACAATCCTTGAAGCACTGAAGGAAATCTTGTTTACATAAAATGTGTAAGACTTCATAGCCACTATAGAAATGTTGGCACCAAGGTCAAGAATCAAGAATCCGCCTTTCAGATTGTGAGAAAGCAAAGCGTACTAACGCATTGTTGCTGGAGCTATGAATTGGTCCAACCATTCTGGGAAGAAATTTGGAATTATACAGATAAAGTGACTAAAATCTCCATACCCTTTGACACAGAGATCCCCATTGCTAGGCATATATACTCCGAAGAGGTCAAAAGCTTCCATGTATGCCAAAATATTCATACCGACACTATTTGTAGTGGCAAAGAATTGGACACACCGACGATGCCCATGTATTAGGAATACATTGGAATATTCTTGTGCTGTAATTAATGGTGAACATGACAAATACAGAGAAATCTCAGAAGGCTTATATGAATTTAACTAAAATGAAGCAAATAGAACTTGGAAGAATTATACACAATGACTTTTGTTGTTGTTCAGTTGTTTTCCATTGTGTCCAACTCTGCCTAACCCCATTTGGGATTTTCTTGGCAAATATACTGGAGTGGTTTGCCATTTCCTTCTCCAACTACTTTTACAGAAGAGAAAACTGAAGTAAACAGCATTAAGTAACTTGCCCAAGGTCCCATAGCCAGTCAGTGCCTGAGGCAGGGTCTCCCTGACTCCCAAGCCCAAGTCTAGCACTCTGTCCTCTACTCCACCTTGGAACAGAGCTGCTTTTACAGTCAGAGTCTTCTTACTCTGAAGCTGTTGTTTTGTTGTTTCAGTCATGTCTGACTTTGTGACCCCACTTGGAATGTTCTTGGCAAAGATACTTGGATTGTGTACCATTTCCTTCTCCAGTTCTCTTTACAGATGAAGAAACTAAGACAAACAGAGTTAAATGACTTCTCTAGCTAGTAAGTGTCTGAGGCCAGATTTAAACTCAAGTCTTCCAGACTCCAGGCCTGGTGCTCTATCTACTATGTCACTGCATCTGCCATTCCTGCTGAAAGCAGAAAATATGTCCAGGAAAAAAAAGTCCTACACATCAGCCAGACTGTTCTCTTCGCAGGGCCCTCTAACCTGATGAAGCCTTTCTCAGTGTTGATGAATGTGGAGGGGCAGGCGGCTCACTGTTAAGTCTAGGTCTTTGTATGTGAGTTCCCCTTTGGTTTACCCCACAGTGTGGTACAGTCATTTCTAGCAAATACTTGCTCAGAATAAGATGCAAATCAACTTATCTTTACCCAGACACAAAATGATAATAATAAGAAGAAATTGAATAATAGTGATTTAAAATTTGCCAAAGCCTTACACATATTGTCTCATTTAACACTCATAATAACCCTGTGGTTAGGTGCTATTATTATGTTCCTTTTACAGATGAGGAAACTGAGGCAACATTAAGTGACTTACACAGGGTCAAACCATTAGTGTAGGAGGCAGGATTTGAATTGAGGTCTTCCTGATTCCAAGGCCAGAACTAAGTATACTGTACCATCTAGCTGCCTGTTGTAAAAGTACAAACAGCCAAAACAAAACTATTTAGGGGTTAGTGATACTCATTCACTCAGTAAAATGAGTCAAGGGAGGGAAAAAATGTATGACCACTAAGTCTCAGTAGAGGCAAAATAACAAAACTCTGCCCTGACAGATCATCCTTAAGAAGATCAGTAAAACAAGGCCCAAAGACCTCATGATCCTGTTCAGTCAAAGGCAGCGGTATCCTGGCTGCTGGTAAAAATTTAGAAAAATAAAATGCAAAGGACAGCATGGGGTATCATCTTGAGGGAGACAATCCGGGACCCCACTGAAAGAGATTAAGGTAGGCAATACTAGTCAAAGAGCTAATCTTCTGACAAGGGAAGTGTAGGCTAAAATGCATTCTGTGGGAACCCCATGGCCATCACATCTTTCTGACATGACCCAGATTAGGAGAACATAGGCTGAATAGGAGCCTCAAAGCAGGAGCTTGGTGGTCTAAAGATCTCCATCGATTTATCATTGGAAGCTTTGTCCCATTTCCTGTTTCTATTTGTTTATGATCCCTCTGAGTCTTAGACCAACTTTGAAGTTTCCCGAATGATAATTTCTACTTTACTTTTTTTGGCAACCTCTTCTCTATTGTAGAAGCTGTCTAAGTGGTCTCCTTAGCATCTGGCTTTTCCTCTCCACAGTCCATCCTTCACAGCTGCCAAAGTAATAGCTCTAAAATCCAGTTCTAACTATTTCACTCCACTACTCAAGAGTTTTATGAGTTCTGTCTTGTCTCTAGGATAACGTACCACTCTGGCATTCAAATCCCTCCCAACTCTGACTCCAGCCTACTTTTCTAGGCTTATAACAGATCCAATCTCTAACACGTTTAGAAAAAAAAAAAACAAGACCAAAGCCAGAGACAACGGTGGGGGGTGGAGGTTGAAATCCAGAATGTATTCTGGCCAATGATAAAAGCCAAGGGCTAGAAAGCCTCTCAGTCATAGAGAACAAGCAGTAGGGAACTGGAGTAATTGTTTCATCAAGGTCTACACAGTCTCTTTCCAGTATAGGAGGGATCACTTACGGGTATCAATTAGCTGCCCATGTCCTAGGAGTGAGGTCAGCATGACCTCATATCCTCAGGGAGAAGTAGGGGCCTGAAGAACATAGAGGGTTTAGGTAGAAGTCAGTTTCTGCAGCTGTGTCCCTATTCTAAGATCAGGTCCCATCTTTCAGACAAGGGCTAAGTCTCAGAGAGAAAGAGCAGCTGGACACTTTCTTCCCCTCTCAGTGTTGTCCTGGGCTCTTTGTATCAGTCCCACCCACCATTGTCACCTAGGAGTTCCAAGGGCCCAGTCTGGAGCTAGGAGTGATTGTAGTGGCTCCTAATTCTTTATCACTTTTCAGCTTATAAAAGATGGAGTGAGAAATAGTGGACAAAGTGCTGGAGGTATCTGCATTTGAATCTTAGCTCCCACACTTCCTAGCTACATTATCATTGGCAAGTCACTTAACTTTTCTGTCTCTCAGCTTCTTCATCTGTTATATGGAGACAAAGTAAAGGAAGGCGTTCCCCTCTCCATCTCAGCTGCTATAGTCACAGAAGACCTAGCATGCAGTCACAAGGTATTAATGAGCTTTTAAACTGACCACAGAGATCCATCTATGTCCTGATGCATTTATCTGGTGCCAACACTTCTTTGATTGAATTGAGAAGGAAACAATGAATTTGGTTGATCAAACGGGATAGCCACACCTCTAGGAGCATCTTTAAATATCTAAACCCTTGAAGACTTTTAGATTTCAAGAGACAGGGACATTGTAAACCACATACTGCCAATAGTAACAAATTCAGAGAAATTGTTATGTAAGAGAGAAAGAAGTTTCAAAAAGTTTCATTTCAGTCAAGAGTTAAGCTGAGGAAAGACAGACACTGAAATCAGCATGAGAACTCAAAAAAGAGACATGGGGCTTCCAATGATTGTTGCCTTACAACACATGAATTGTATTTTCATCCCTCCCATTGAACTTTAAGTCTGTGCCCGCTCTTCCCTTTTTATTCATATCCCCCGTATATATTTGTAGGAAAATAAATTCCAGGTTTATGGGAGGAATATTTTGTAACAAGTGTTCTTATAACTCCAGCTTAGTAAATGCTTTGGCTAAGATCTAATTCCATCATATGGATGACTGTTAATGGAAAGCACACTGGTAGGAGCTCAAGAAATATACTACAACCTGAAGTATCAGCCACCTTTTGGGGACCCAATCTATGAATGTGAGTGAAAGTTGGAGGAAAAGTCCAGTTAGCTTGTTACAGTAATATTGTTTCTAGCACCCACTTCACAAGGTTATGAGATTTGAAAGTTTGAAAAACTTAAAATTATATATTAAAGGCAGCTACTGTTCTAATTACAATGTGCTTTTCTTATAACTACCCCACATCTATCACATAGTGTCTGTGTATTTTCTTTTAACCAACAAATAAGTAAATATATTTGATGATGTTACAAATCTCAGTGTATGAATGTATATTAGTACCACATTATTATTGTGTCAATATCTGGTATAAATCCTGCTTCCAACTACATTAACATGTTTCTTTTCATATCACAGAAATTCTTTGTTCAAGATGCACCATGCCTTACTACTGCCTTTCAACCAAGTTCGAA